CCCCACCCGCAGTGCCGCTCTGGCAGCATGGCACATCCTGACCCATCCCGCGGCACGGAGCCGCTCCGGGCACAGCAGGCAGAATCCCACCAGATGCAGCAGCTCCCAACGTTTGCCTTCGTCGTGGTGGGGAGCACGACTGCAACCAAAAAAATCACTGCAAATTTATTCCCTGAGTGTCCCTGGCTTCTACTTAAATTAGTGGATTACTTCCAGCAGTGTTTAGCTAATCTAATTATTGAGAATTAACTCTGGGGTGGCATTGCTTGGTTCTATAAGCAGATTATGGGTTGGCCATCAAAACCGGCCTCAGCATTTTCACAGCTCAAGTTTAAATTTTTTAAAAATCAATGTAATTTAGAAGCAATAAATAACCAAAATTTTTATATATACTTTTTTTAAGGTACAAGCAGTCCATTCAGGTGACAGTTTAAGTTTGGAGAAAAGCTGGTATCGCACTCAGCATTTTAGAAGGCAAACCCAGCCCCCGTTGGAGGGAAGCAGCCTTGCTTGCGTGGCACTGCTTCAACCCGCGCCGCCTCTGCTCGGCTCCGCCGCGTGCTCCACACCTCTGTCAACGCTCACGTAAAAACCCAGGGAAAGGGTCAGAGACATACCTCAACTTCCCCTGTTTCGTTTTCCTTTAGCACAAAACTGAGCACATCCGTGTCGGGGCCCGCCAGCAGCCGCAGGTACAGGGGGAACTCGGTGAGAAGGAGCTTCTGGAAGAGCACTGCAAGGGACAGCAGATATCCACAGTGAGATCCGGGCTGCGGGGCAGAGGAAAGCTCAGGAGGTCGACTGGAGCATGTAAAAGCGGTTCACGCTGCTCAGGATCGTAGTGGAAGTAGCTGAGTCTCTAACACAGATCCATAACGATCTCCATTAGGTTTTAGGTGGCTTCAGCCCCCTCTGAAAACTAGCAATTCCATGTTAATTTAGGCAGCATCACCTCCTGTGGAGGTCTGAATTCATCTGAAATTCAGACACTGCCTGCCCGACGCACCACTGAGTCCTAGAAAGATGCTTTGGGTATGTTTGTGCAACACAAAACAGCAGGCAAAGCAGGAAAGCTGGTGGGTCCGAGGGGGTGAACTCACCTTGCCCGTCCTTCCGCATCTCCTTGAAAAGTGCAAACTTCTGAGGGTTATCCACCACCATGAACTTCTTCAGGAGCCCCTGGATCACCTCGCTCACCGTGGTCGTGCTGCTGATGTGGAGCTGCTTGATGGCATCCAGTGGCAAGTAGAAAGAGGTCCTCTTGTCCGTCGTGTCGGCCAGGTTCACCTCCTTGAGGGCATCGTAGATGGACTGCGGCCGGATCCCTGCCAGCACTGTCACGGGGCGACGCAGCTTCAAATGCACTTTAATGAAACCTGTGTACGTCCCATCGTCGTTCTAAAGCAAAGGAGGGGGGGGTCAGGCTCCAGGGAGCCTTTCCATTCCTCCCCCCTCTATGAGAGGCTTTCTGGTTTACAGAGCTGCAGCCCGTAGGGTGACTGCAGGACTTTCCACCCCTTGGTATCAGGCTCCAGGGAGCCTTTCCAGTCCTCCCCCCTCTATGAGAGGCTTTCTGGTCTACAGAGCTGCAGCCCGTGGGGTGACTGCAGGACTTTCCACCCCTTGGTACTGCTAAGAGTTTGAGGGTTTCTTATTAATCATGTAAAAAGTAACCAGTAATTTCGGGTTAGTCACTACTGATTTTCTCCTGTTCCTTCCACTCAGTAATGACTCATCCCTTCCTCGTGTCTGCACAATCTTGTCTGATTTAAAACTGACACTGCTACAAGTGAACGGAAACCATTACATGTGATTTTTAGTTGCACTTAAGTGAGGATTTGAAACCTCTGGGAAGGTCTCTACCCTCA